AGAATATAAATCAATACACGCCTGTCGTAATGCATAAGAAACGGCTAAATAGGTATCCATAGCTGTAACTAATTGGTTTCCATATTTAAAACGTTGTTCACTGCTTGACTTGATGGACTGGTCGAAAATGCGTCAGCTACTTAAAGTCATCCCTTGGTTCCTTCTGCTGCTCGGTCTGGTGTCACCACGCAGGATCAAATGCTATCGTGAGTAGGAATTGATGTCCATAACAAACCACAAATAACATCATTTCGTTAATCGTTGATCATGAAACAGCTGGGTGGTATTACGACGCCGTTATTAACAGATGCAACCAGTATATACGCTCCGCAAGCAAAATAGGTACCTTGCCATCCGTTATCCTTGTAAAACCGAACTGCGTTGGTGGTTACGTCTGGGATAAGGAGCTAATGTCATGCGTTTTGAAATGCCCGACGAGGAACTGCTACTATCATAAGATTAAAGCACCGCTTCTCTTCGAAAAGCATTGCCCTGATATGGAATATCTGGACTTGGCCACCAGAAAATGTGTAAAATTATTACCACCTGTTCTTACCATTAAAACTTGATCAAAGTATGGTTGTTATTCAGACGTGAAATATCAATAAACTAACTGAAAAAAAAAAAAAAAAAAATTAGCAAACAAATATTGTATATACATACATATATATGTATGTGACTCCTTAAAGAGTCTGCGAAGGCAGGCAAAGAAAATTGATTTCTGCCTGGGGATTAAAACAGAAGCGTAAAAGCAATTGCTTGGCTACTAAAGAAAAATAAATACTCTAGCGTATCTCACGGACGTTGCGTGCAACCTTGCAGTTTGTTTATTAAATTAAATAGTTAATAAAAAATAAGAGCACGGAGCAATATACAAAAAAGGAATACGTATTTATTTTATTTAATTTTATTTTTTCTTAATGCAATTTGTAATTTCAGATGCATAAGAGGAGCACAAAATAACATTACTTTGCGGTTCCACAGCTTAGTCGACCACATATTTTGTATAGAGTATAGATAGTACTGGGCTGAAAAAGATATTCCCATGCTTATATAATTTAGCTCCGGGCACAGTTGTCAGACGAGGCAGGCTGGCAGCGTAATGAA